GATAAGATGCTCGACTAAGTAGCTCGGGTGAGTGCTTAAGGTGTCGAGCTCGTAGGTAGACCTGACCTGAAGGTATCGGCTTCCAAGAGCTCGATAAAGTAACCGACCTCGTATATGTCAATGTTGGGTGGTCTGGGGACATGTGTGAACGAAAGTCAAGGTTGGATCAAACCTCAGGATAAGGTCAGGTGCGTCCTCGGGAAAGGAATGACAGACAGGACATGTGGTTGATTCACGACCAGGATCCACAGGCTAAAACAGTAAAAGGGGGAAAGAATCCAAATAAGAAGTAAATAATTATTCGTAAAATATTTTCACTACCCGCAAGTGCACGACATAGTTATAGTAAGCGACGTGCAATGTCGTATTCTACATATTTGTTGTAAAATAATTAAGTACCAAAATATAGACGATTAAATATTATTTAGACTAACTCAAATTTTAATGGTGTTTTAATTCCAAGCTAATGAAAAAACAATAACCTGGATCTAACAGCTAATGATGGCTTATTCTAAATAAATAAAGATTGAGAAAATAGATACTATACTAAGTTTTTCTCGGAATTATTCTAGCAATGAATTCTTATTCATTCAAACATTATTTAATCCTAACAATCGAAAGAATAATCACTAAAGTAATTTAACCTCTCTCTCGAGCAAGCTAAATTGTTGATTATATGTTATTTATCTCCTTTCGGTCTCAAGATGATCAATTAATTCCCCTAGTTTCTATGATTCTAGTTCCCTCGCAAGATTCTATCAACCTGTCGGTTTGTTTTGTCTCTTACGTTATGAATTTCTCAATTCTAGCAATCAACTATCTCCTCTCGGTCTCAAGGCAAAATGCGGGCCCTATATTCGCACAATTAATATAAGCACAAAAAAATGATAAACGAATACACCAGATGAATGAATAAATGAATTACTTCATAAAATAATCTGAGTACTCAAAAATCCTAGAATCTCAAAAATGTTTAGCTACTAAACATATTCTCAAAACACAAAAGCTACTAAACATATTCTCAATACACAAATATAAATAAACCAATGGGTTCAATGAAGAAAAAAAAAAGATAAAAGAAAGAAAAACTTCTGTCGAAATCTTCAATCTTGACTTCCTCGAATTCCTCGTGTGTTTCGTGCTTTCTCTTCGCCTCCAAAAAGTGTCAAAAGTCCCACCAAGTTCTCCCAGTTCCTTTTATAGTGTAAGGCAATTATGAGTCAAAAAATAGAAGAAATCGCACAAGAATCCTAGTTTCCGCTGTCTTTATATGCGCGTCACACAACCCGTGTGAAAAGGCCTTACCAAAATTTTCTTCTTTCTTTTTTCCAGCCACACGACTCGTGTCATTGACCCACACGAGTCGTGTGTTCTCCATTGCACTTTGTTTTCGTCGTTTTTCGTCTCGATTTCATTTTTCAACACTTTTTCGGGTATATTTCCTGCAAAACCAATGACAACTGTACCTCTATCATAGGTTAATAACTAAAACAAAATGGTGCACAATCCGACGATAACACGACTAAATATCATGAATGTCAATAATTACTCACTCAATGACTCTTGCCAACATAGAGACATGGTATGTTAGGGAACTAAAATTTGGGTGGATCTCTTTCATAACAATAACTCTCTTTGGTCCCAAGGTATTAAGCCTATATAAGGACGACATGTACTCTTTGATCAAACAACACACAATCTACGCTTTATTCTTTATATTAAGTACATTCACAAATGAGCGAGTTCTAACTTGAGCTTCATAGAGGGATCACGACTACTGTTCGTTGTCGGAGGCTCGAGAAAGAGGATCATGCAAGGTGGAAAGTTTTCAATCCGTTAGTGACCAAGAGTGACCTACAAGCAGCATATGAGTCTGCATTAAATATCTACTATTTACTATTTAAGGTAAGAATCGGTTGGCAAAACGAAGTTTGAACGTTGACTTACGGTAAAAATAATAAAAAAAAGTGCGAGATTATGGAGTTACAAAATTCTACGGAAGCATGTGGGATATGATATTATCTCATCCGCAACCATCGATAAAAAAAAAAGTGAGATAATAGATTACTGAATTTTACGGAAGTGTGTGAATCTGATTATCTCATCAGCAACCATCAGACAAAAAAAAAAAGAGTACACGAGATTATGTGTTACTAAATATCTATGTATATTGAAAAAGGTTGATATCAAATTCATTTTTGGAATGATGGTCGCATGCCTTCGCAGGTGAATAAAACACTTAACATGATTGGATACAAAACAATCTCAAAAAATTCAATCATTTTTAACTCAACCATTTTTTTTAGCTCAACTTTAACTCAACCCCACTATCATCAATATTTTATTATAATTAAATAATATCAATCAATCATTCTTACACACAACATCAACCTTAATTTACTATTCATCCTCTCACATAATTTTAACTAACCATCACTTCAACTTCTCTCTCTTAGTTTTTACATCAAATCAACTTGAATTATTTTATTCTAAATATTATTTTAATATATCCACTAACAACTAACCATACCACTTTTTTAAAAATTAACCAAATCAAATAAAGAAATGCAAACAAAACCAAAAAATTTTATATCCAATCATCCTCTTATTGTTTTGATTCCGGAAATCGGACGATCCACGCGCTCTCACGCGTGCGAGTAAACATCGGCAGCTGCTCCCTTCCGGCGGCGCGTGGCGGCGCGTGCGGTGGCTGACGGCGGCAATCTCGACGGCGATCTCTTCGCTTCGTCGTCCTGGTCGTCGTGGTATGGTCACTTGCTGGTTTTGGTCTCCGGTTTGGATGTATGATTGGAATCTCTATATACCTTAAGATCTTCTATTGTATTCTCAAACAGCTATCTAGATCTTGTATCAGTGGAGCACAAGAAATAGAACTACTCCTTGGAAGAGAGAGATAGAGAGCTGGACGCAATTCCCAAGTTGTGGGATTCAGTTCTTCTCTTCCATGAGCCTAATGTTGTATATATAGAGCTACAG